CTCCCCTAGTATACACCTGTATCTCTCTCTCATAGCACAACGCTTCATTTGCTTAGAACCTCTCATGAATAATTCCCTTTGATGTTGAGTGTAGTAATCAAGTGTCTAAAACCCGTAGTACTGTGTCTGCCCAGGTATCTAAGTATCTAATCAAGTCTCTAAGTTGCAAGTTAGATCACTGTGAAGAATTTAGATCACAGGTTTCACAAAGGTCAAATCCATAATAATCAAGGAGTGGGAAGGCCATTTGCTCCTAGCTTCAAGACTGCCGCAGAGCTCATCATACAAGCATCGCAGCGCTCAGCCCCGCGTCGCTTGACGACGATTTGTTGTTGGTCGCTAGTCATGCGTTTCCCGGTGCAGAGCCATGTAGCTGATTTCAACGTCAGTCTGACTAGCGACAAACAACAAACCGCGTCCAGATCAAGCGACGCGGGCTGAGCGCTCCAGTGGCAGTGTCTTGCTCCGGCGGGGCTTGCAGGATATATCCGTCCAGTTGCTGCGATGACTCGTCCCGCTCGGCGGCAGTCTCTAGCTATGACCAAATGGGCCTTCGCCGTTTCCCAGCCTAAATTCTGGCGGGCAGAGCCAACGGGGTCACGGGTCTTGCACACTATCGAAAAGATCTAAGCGAAACTGCGCTCCCTCGTACCGCGGTTCTAAGCCAGTTAGACCACTGAACTCGTCTCTCCTCGGTTTGAAACCCTCGTGGGTCGGGAGGAGAATGACGCAATAGTGACCTCGGCTCCGCCTCGGTCACTATTGCGTCATTCTCACCCCTCCCCCTCGGTTATTCAAACCTCGTAGTGACTCGTTCCAGTGATCTAACCTATACGTATACAATGCCTGCATGAAGATCTAATATGGACAATTTTTTCTGTACCATTGTGATGTCCAGATTAAAGTATAATTATGTTTCTTCTCTTCACAGAGTCTTGCAACGCCTCGCTCCCATTACCCTCGACACACTCTTAAAATATATACTTTTCTTCCTGAAAAGAACAATCCCACGACCGACACTTTCTCCTGTCCCATTGGTGTCCAGAATATAGAGGGATTTCACTGTCTATCAGACCATGCGGCCAAATTTACGTCGTTTGGGCTTACAAAAACAGTCATATGAAAAGCACTAAAGTGCAAACCCTCAGCGAACTGCGCATTCGCGGTACCGCTAATTGATGGGTTTGGGCTATAATAATAATAATAATAATAATAATAATATTTTATAGACATGAAAGGGCCAGGGTGGCTATATGTCTTATAGTAGCAGAAATGAATTGTATACAAGTGGAAAAATCATTTCTTCAAAATGAAGGGGGATTAGGGATGGCTTGAAGCACCAAAACGAAGAACAATGGGGTCATTACACAGCAAAGATGCACAAAGCTACATGACACCATCCCTATATCTTTGTTCGACATTAAACTTTGCTTAAACAAACAAAAAAACAAAGATAGCTAGGGATGGTGTCATGTAGCTTTGTGCATCTTTGCTGTGTAATGACACCTTGTTTCTTCCTTTTTGGTGCTTCAAGCCATCCCTATATCCCCCTTCATTTTGAAGATAAATGATTTTTCCACTTGTTTCCACTATTTTTAACAGCTTATGACAACACTGCATTTACTGTTACAGTCACTCTGATGTTCATGAGTATGTTGTAGATAGGCTACCATAGACAAACTGAAAGCAGTAGCTAATGAGCTGCTAGTGCCTGAAGGGGCTAGATACCACCTTCATCCCATGTATTGTCTTCAACAAGGATGTAATTAGGTAATTGCACATTGGTTGTTGTTTCATGGCCAGGCTTTGGTAATCAGGCTACAACCTGGGGGGGACAAACAATGAGGGCCCATTCGGGCGCCCCCGCAAGGCTCGCGTAACACCGCGCAGACTCTGCTAAGTTGCTCCTCGTGCAAATCAACAGCAAGCTAGCCAGTTGGAAATGTGCACACTTACTTACAGAAGGCACTGGAGGCTGAGAGTTGCTCTGCAGGTCTGTCAACTCGCCTGGTAATACGCGTGCACAGCGGATTGCACAGCGCCTTGGTATACGTACGTTGTAATTCAGGCGGATCGCAGCATATCGTCGCTGTGCTAGCAGCGACGACATGATCTCAAATTGCAACATCGGTTGTGTAATAGACACTGGGAGAGAAAACACATACCCATACCTACTAACCATCCCGGAATATACCGGAAAATTGGATTGCATCCCGGTATCCCGGGAAATTTTCATAAATCCCGGGAAGTGCTGCGCTCCGCGCATGGGATCAGACCGGACGCGCGCGCGCGTTTGGCCTGCCGGTATTGTGCGCGCGCACATCGTGACCCTTGACCTCCATGAACTTCAGCAGCAAAGACAGCTACAGAGCAAAGCCTTCATCAAGATCATCACTAACTCCATTCCTAATACTTTGTATGTTTTTTATGTGTGCTAGTGTACCATCACTTCTTGTACCTGTCAGTTTTTGTCAATCAAGGAAAATATATCATAAATAAAATAACAGGCCCAAGGAAAAATATCCCTGCATGTTGGTAGGTATCGGCAACGGAAGGGTGGCTCTTTCCTGACCACTTCATCACTGATCTACGACAGTGCCCGAACGCCTTTTCGATATATAAGGCGTGGCCGCCAAGCAATAATAAACGTACGTGCGCATGCGCTGAGAGGGGATTATGAGTGTTACATAACAAGCGACAATGCGCTCCTCGCACACATATAATTTCGCGCGCTGCATCGCTCCGCTGATTATTGCCTCAAACTCTGCTTACTTCAACCCGTAACCACTGCCGTCTGTCACTCATCATGAGCAGCTCAGGGTATGAACAAAGAAGTAAGTGTAAAAAATTAGCCAAGTTTCTTGTTCGGCAGGGGATACTCGGGGACTGGAACCCAGACGGACAAGGACAACCACGCAGACCAGTGCAATCCCAACAACGCACAGTACGCGGGTCATGAGAAGGGATACACTGGAACTGGCACCAAATCTGATTTGGACAACCATGCCAACCAACTCAACCCCAACAACCCCAACTACACGCCCAAAGGTGGAAAATGAAACACATTTGGAAGACACTTTGAGAGACTGTAGAAAGAAGACATTATAGGCAATTGCTGTAGTAGTTATATCATTGTTGGATTAGTTCTTTTGCCATGTATAGAATATTGAGCACATGAAAGTTTGTGTGCACGCTACTGAAATAATAATCATACACTCAACTAGATGTAGCTACGAAAGAATGAAGTATCGTCAGGTACGAATTTTGTGGCGATGCACCATTAAACCTTTATGGGGCAAAAATTATGCCAGATTGCACGAATGGCTCTCAGTAGCTACCAGCTGCAAAGCAATAGAGGTTGATTCACTCGGTGTTATCTGCATGTGGAATGGCTGCCAGAATGAGTAAGGACCCTGAGAAAGTAACTACTTGGATGTCAGTGTGAGATAAGGTCTTAGGAAGTGGCACACATTATCTTGTTATTAACCCTCGGCGTGCATGCGCAGCGAGGGTTATAGTACTGGTTTGTCCGTCTGTCTGTCTGTCTGTCTGTCTGTCCGTCTGTTACCACGTTTTCTGCCACCACGTGCAACAAACAGGTAAAATAGCGACACCAACGGGTTCAGCGCTACACTGGCTTGATTTAAAAAAATGGCGATTTTCGTAAAAGTGCCGCGTTCAGAAGTTGTGGCGTGAAAACCAAGTGAACAAGCCAATATGCTAATTAGAACTAGCTTACCTCGACCTGATCTGCTTGCTCTGTGTACCTCGGAGGCACAAGAAGTCACAACGAAGGGCGTGTATCGACTCCCGCATGCTATCTACTACTGTAGTTAGCCCGTTTCAGACTCTTTGGGAGTGGCACACATTATCTTATTGCTTTGTTATTCCCAGGGACAGAAATTTCGTATGAACCGTTCTGATTGGTCGGTGGCTGACCAATATCTCCATATAAGGTCATGCATGAGCGTGTTGTATGAGGGGAATGTGTTGTACGAGGGGAATTTCCCGGGGGGGGGGCCCGGCAGTGGGCACTTCCCAACAGAAAGAACATGCTAGGCGCATAGTGAGGAATTACTTACGTATTCCTAGAGCTGAAACTCAGTAACAACGAAATTCATGACTGAGCAAGAAGACTTGTAAACAGTTATAACCGTTCTGTGAACTAGCTACCACATGCATAGAGCTATAGCACAGGGACAAACAAAACCAATGAAAATGAAATTTATGCTAGACAACATGTAACTACGTCTGTGAACTACACTGCGCAATACACACAGGAATAGAGTAGGGGACAAATAGTCCAACTCCTTTTTTTTGACAAAGTACCGACACAGTATAGGGCCCACTCCCTATGCACAAGAATGGAAGCCTTGAGATCTAGCTATCTATAATGAGGCAAAGATATACTCGATGTAAGAGACAACAAAGTCTTATGCAACTTCAATGCATGCATAAACGGAAGTATGGTGGCCGAGAAGGTCGCTTCCCTATTGCGTGTGCGCAAATGGCATCCTACAATATATAGCGCATTCGTAAAGCGTATGTGGGTAGCAGATAAACAACATAGTGCGTTCGTGACGCATATTTTCGTAGCACTATGTTAGACTGATGCAATTTGCCAACACGTTATAGGGAAATGACAGATGTTCCTCTTGCAACCTGTTGCATGGAGCTATACTAGCTATACACATACATTGAGACTTGTCTTGCACAATAACAAAAATTACACCATGTAGTTGGTGTTTAGGTCACAGTTACAGTACCATCTTCTTCCATTATGTATGCACCTGCCACACACATGCATAATGTTGACCCAGACTGTGTTCCTCCCCTGGAGTCTCTTCATTATTAAATATTCATAGGACAAAATTCTAGTGAATGCTGTTGGCTAACTGAGCCTCTCCGATACCTGGGAACCGTGAGCTTCAGGGGATTCTGAAAAGAGTAGTGCACATGATGTTGTAAACCCAGCCTATTAGCAGAATAATTATTATGGTCAAATTAGATACCACAGGTATTGAGACTACACACTCTAGGAGGAGTGGTGGTATCGTGACTCACTAAATGTGATGAACAATCTCTGGGTCCTCAGAGTATTATAAGCAGAGTTCTTCTTGCAAAATCAAGACACTCAGCCTTTCACTAGTGGACAGTAAACCACCACAGCCAACAAATAACTAAAACAGGCTGCTTTCTGATTAATGAGGTGGGGGTCAATAGCAAGCAGGAAGAGAACATGATTGTTTCACCTTCCTTTCCACCACAAAAGCCTAAATATCTATCACAGTAGTAAAACACAAGTATAATATTGTACTAGTTGTCATCAATTTCCAGCATTTCCCATTATTATACAAGCAACATAATAAAAATATCAAGGGAACATTAGGTAACACAGCTGTCATACGTCGTGCTATATACAAAAGTGGTGCCTCATGTTTGCCTTTGTAAAATAACATCAGGAGTGTACTGATCCTTGACAATGCCCAACTCAACTCAGCTCACACACAGGCTACACAGCATACAAATTGTAGACAAGTGGCAACGCCCAGGCCAACAAAAAGCAGCAGTATAGGCTTACAACTAGGCCATTGTCTCAAAGTTCTGCCGTGTGCTGTAGCAGGATTAGCCAAGTGTTCAGACAGCACAAAGACTAATTGAGAAAGCATGTAGCACATTTGTAACCAGCATGGTGTGCTGAGCTTGTCATTGTAGCTGTATCATGTGACTATTATATATACAAGAAACCGTGAATAACAAACACAATGGATACACTAGAGTCAATCCAGTTCATCTAGCTTGTCGGTGAGAAACTCCAGGTGGTGCCAGAAGATGTCAAAGTCCCTGATGATGTGATCAACCTGCCAGGGACGGGGAAGAAGGTCAAACTCCCTAGTGTTGACTGATCCCCTCTCAATGAGCAAGGACAGCGCCTGGTTTGAGGAGAAGCCTGCATCGCGACCAAACGCACACTCCCAAGCCAAGTTGTGCAGCTGCAGTTAACAAGACATTGATTATGTCGTGCACGGTTAATCTCAGTCTGACTATGCTCACCTCTACTTCAGTGTGTTGCTCCATTTTCAAGTCCAGCTCAATCACTTGACCTTTCTCCACATCAAATGTGTGCTCAGACATGCAGTTGACTGTGGCAGCAAACCTGTCGTCTAATAGAAACGTCGTCTTTCTCTTGCATCGCAACACGTGGATGTTCCACCGAGCCATCTTGGGCTTGAACTGGACCAGATGACGAGCAGGGAACGACAGGGTCCCCACCATCTCCCTCACAACAGCATGGAGAGGTTCTCTTTCCGTCACGTACTCATAGTTGTAGAGACCTATACGTATGTCATATTGCCTGTGTGTGCAAAACATCTCGCTGGAAAATTCAATATGCAAAATCACATACATCACCTCTCAAGATGAAGGACGTCAAAGCCAATTTCTTTAGCCTCGTTCCTCCTAACCATCACAACTTGTAGGCCTGCCTGACCTTTTACGCTTCTCTGCAAGACCAAACGTATATCAAGCCTGGTTCCTCCCTCCAGGCCTCTTGCACCACACACAAAATCTCCTTTCACGTCAAAAACTTCGATAGAGTGACTTTTTTATCACTAAATGAAGACCTCAAGTGACGAACACCAGCAGACTCCACACTATGTTATAGCAATTGATGACGTATTACTGCATGTAGGACATAGGACATAAAAACTTACATGGGGTTGAAGTTCTTCTTGCCCATGCTACTCTTGCTAGAGAGAAGCTGAACTAAACCTTCCAAACTGTAGTCCTTTCTGTATACACTGCCTTTGAACCGGCTCCACATAACTTTTCCAAGCCTGTGTAAGTGTATTCGAGGATAGTACTAATTATTATCACCAAAATGTCGATCAAACCTTGCAGAAAGTTGAATGACAAATTTTCTTTCGCCCTTTTCGTCAACCAGCATCTGCAAACTTCTGGTTAAGCAATCTCTGACATCCTCCTTAGTATTGAGATGCAGCCTAACACACACAATCTCCAACTGTTTACGACAACATCATGGAACTATAAATTTTCTTACAGAGGTTTTGCCATTGGCTCAGCCCCCTTGGATGCAGTAGCTCTGGCTTTCTTCTTTTTCTGTGAAGTGTGTGGATCAGCAGGTGGCTTATCTGCAGGGCTCACAACATCAGCGATCTCACCTTCCTGTTATGCAACAGACAATAATAACTACCACCAATCATTGACTATGTATGTGGGTGAACCTGTTCTGGACTTCCATATAGTTCATACATGGTGGTCGACGGAACTGGTAGCATTGGACCATCTAACTCTCTGAAATGGTAGGAATTGTACCTGGTAGCTCCCCGCCGCGGATTAATGAAACATTGAGATGTTGCATAATAACTCTATGAAACCCATATTATTAAAAATCCATAATTAATGATTTATATTATAGCTTCTATATACCTCTTGGGATAAAATCTGCTGCATTTTCTCTATTAGTTGTGGTAGCTTTCCCTGTTCATTTGTATTGATCAAAACCTACAGTGGAAGGCACTTGGTTAAAAAACAAAAAAACCATGGTTTGCATATACCTTTTTCTTTTCAACTTCAATGTAGCATGACTTTGTGATAGCATAGAGTTTCTTTACATTGCTACCTCCTCTCCCTACAACATTTCCAACTGATAGGCCTTATGGGATCTCCAAACACTGCTCATAGGTTTTCCTGTTAGTTCAAGAACAAAACGTAGCTTACCAAAGGTTGATACAGACCCGCATTCATAGGTATAATTATGTTCATCCTTATAGTGTATCTACCTTCTAGGCTGGAGAGTGGATAATTAATCACTTCCAAACTGGTAGTTTTATTTCATGGTTAGCTGAGTGAAGCGAGCCCAACTAGTTGCTCGCCAACAATGCGTTCCATTCCTCTAGTAAAGAAAAATGTCAGCTGTATAGCTATACTCATCCTGCTATCCTAAGTAGGCCACAGCTACATGTTGGTACAATAGGTGAACCCGGCCATGACGGTCGCGACATTAGCTCTCTACTATACTAGATATATAGGTAGCTAAAAGAAAGAAAACCAAACATGCCTAAACCAAGAGAGAAAGTCATTTAGCCTTCATAATTTACATGACAAATTACTGAAAACACCGTTGAAGAGACAACTCATGACATACCTGGCCACGAGATCGTGACGGTAAGGGCACAGTTCTCCGTTGGAACGCTTTTCACATTTCCCCTTGAATTTATACCGAGTACAGTGGCCAGGAGGTGGGCGAGCCCCTCCTCCTCTTCCTCTGCCTCTCCCACCAGGGCGGCTGGTCATGTCGGGTTCGGTTTCTTCCGCTGGGAGATCGTGACGGTAAGGGCACAGTTCTCCGTTCTTTTCACATTTTCCCTTGAATTTATACTTAGTACAGTGGTCTGGAGGTGGGCGAGCCACTCCTCCTCTTCCTCTGCCTCTCCCACCAGGGCGGCTGGTCTTCTGCTAACAGTTGTAGTCCTTAGAGTTAGAGTCTTCGCTCGTTTTCACGGCACATCTCTCGAACGCAGTCGTTTCAGGAAAATCGCCCATTTGTTTTTCAGGCTCGCGTGGTTCTGAAGCCGCTGGTATACCTAATAGGCCGCCTCGTAGCCTGTAGTGCGTCGAAGCACACACACACACACACACACACACAGATTTTTAGTAGACGTAACACAAGCTGCGCATGCGCGCCGAGGGTTGCATGCCAATGACCTACGTGCGCGCGCCTCTCCGGTCTGTTTACACACACACACACGTACACACACGTACACACACGTACACACGTACGTGTACGTACCTCTCCGCCGGCCGGGCGGGGTTTACGACGCCGCGCGCCGGCACGTGCAGGCTGCTTTGTGTGCATGTGTGCAGCTAACAATGTCGCCACCTCCTGCGAGAAAGGACAGGCTGAAAATCTTCGCATCGTGTCCGAAAGTCGACAAGCAGATTTTTACAGTTGGCCTTATCCTCGCAGGATTTTTTCTGTTTCTGCCGTTGTTGATATGGTGCCTCACGTCAGATTTCGGCTCGAGGACCTCGTACAAGGTTTTACAGCTACAAATATCTCCCCGTTCCTTCTCTCCCCCTTCTCTCTCGTCACACATTGTGACTATCCCTGTAACTAATACCTCACGAGACGAAGGTGATGTCTGTCAAACTGTGCACATGGCAATGGTTGCTACTGGTAGCATGAGTGGTAGGCACCTCTACACTACAATAAAGTCTGTATTCGTGCATCGCTCCACTCCTCTGCATTTCCACTTATCACTGACGACAGAGCTAAGACCAATTCTCCAGGCAATGCTCGATACTGGCTACTCCCCCGTGTGTCTCACGATACTACGACTTACACCAGGCAATGGAGACTATAAGACTGGCCAATCTCTAATCCACTGTTCGCAGGTTATTTCAATTTTGACCTCAACCTTCATCTAATTCTACCAGACAGTGTCCGTCTATCATAGCCATAGAACCGACGTCTGTAGTGAATGTGGATCTGGCCTGATATACTCAGTAACTGAGTCACGTGAGAATCACATGATATCAGTGTGTGGAGCTGCGGTGTGTGTCCTACTGCTCAGAGGATAGTGGGGAGCTTGGGATGAGCAGGTGGGGGGCAGTAGGTTATAAATCTCGATACTTCGCTGAAAGAAAACGGAGATGATCAGGCATACGGAGACATCACTGCTCATCCAGTGCTGCTGACACTGTTGATAAAGCAGTCAGATGAGCTAGCAGGTAGGGATCCTGCGCCATGATGAGGACGCATGTGAGCCTGTCAGGAATTATGACGGAGGAAGTTACTCAGACATAGAGAAATGCCAAAGTGTCACTAAAGATATGGAGCCACGTGTCCCTATACCCTCAAGTTACACATGTGTGAAGTTATGCATGGGAGAGAGTCGTCCAGAGACGAGAGGTTCCCTTCGTCCTGGGACACAGCTATACTGCCAGAGATGAGTCGACGTTACCACTGGCTACTCATCTTGACTACAACAGACTAGACCTAATGGGGAAGATTCTCACTCACTGGGACGGACAGCAAGTGTGGGCATCCAAGTGACTGATTCAGAGGTTCAGAGAGTGTTAGATTTCTTGAGAAAACTCTACAGCAATGCGAGAGAGGGACAACGTGACGTTACCACCTGGTTTGTTCAGGCTCGGCCCCCTCCTACCCCCCCAACCACATGCGAGAGATAGGACACAGATACGTGGCAACTCCCTACACCTTCTTTCTGGATGTCGATTTCATGCACTCTCCTGAGCTGACTACCAGAATCTACGAGAAAAACTGATATGACTCGGAGAGTTGTTGGTGACATTAGTAAGACTGCCGTTGTGTATCGCAGCTTTTGAAAAGACGACAAGACATTCAGATCCCTTCTGACAAGCCAGTATTGATCGAACTCGTCTTAATAAACAGTTCATCCGTTTCACCTGAGCGCGTACAGAAACTGGTCACAAACCAAACAAAACTACTAAGTGGATGTTCGCCAAAAACCGTACTAGCTCACTGGGACCATTACTACGAGCCTTACTATGTAATGAATACGTCCGTTGTTTCTTTCGATCATCGGTTTGTGCTCGTTTTTCAAACAAGTTGTAGCCACGCGTTGGCACTACACAGGCTGGCTATAAGTCTTGGTTTCTCTCGACGACTTTGTCATCCATCTTCCTCATTTAAAGAACAAACAGAAATGAGTGTTAGAGGACAGTGCACAACGACTGGTACGGGGATGGATTAGGAGAAGAGAGAAAACAATATAATTACACTGGTACTGATGTTCGGGATTACATGGTTAAGCCTTAAGCATGCTGCATAATAATCTATTCTTCTTGCTTGAAGCATACACAGAGAGTCAGAGGGTATATAATTATTGCAAG